ATATCCTTGCCACAATCCTCCAAATGCGCTCACTTGGAAGTATTTACAAAGCATTCTCTACCTGCTCTTCTCACCTGATTGTTGTCTGCACTTTCTATGGGACTCTTCTTTTCATGTACCTGCGGCCTAGCTCCAGCTATTCCTTGGAGCAAGACAAGATCGTATCTGTCTTTTATGTTGTTATCATTCCTATGCTCAACCCCATCATATATAGTTTCAGGAACAAAGAAGTTAGAAATGCCATGAAAAAAACATTTCAAAGAATACCATTTCCAATTAGTTGCACATAAATTTAGAAGTACATATTCATGCTATTCATTTGCCACAAATGCATTACATTACACTTACAAAAAACCTTTGTGATGTGTACAATTGTAGTAGAGTTATTCTTTACCTGACCTTTCAAAGCTTTTGTATTTGTGAAATAAATTTTGTGAGAAAGAAGGAAGGAAGGAAGGAAGGAAGGAAGGAAGGAAGGAAGGAAGGAAGGAAGGAAGGAAGGAAGGCTAGAAAAGTCAGAAAGGGAAAAACATCTTAATAAAGGATTGATTGTTTTGCTTTAATAGAGAACAATCTGTTAAAAAAATGTATGTAACCTTTCCATTTTAGCCAGCTAACAACTGTTGCATAGACCTATTCTTTGGCCATTTCTCCTAGTGGCCACCACATACAAAGACTTGTAGTGTGGCTTCAAAGTATGGTGCAGTTTGCAGCAGGTGACAATGCCCACTTGATTTTGCATTTTTATTTTTTTTTGAAAGATGGGATGGATTTGGATAGTGGTTTTATGATATCCTGAAATGGTAACCAGGTTAGACTGGAAAGTTGAAAAAACATCCTAGAAGAAAACAACGGCAAACACATCCATATTTTTGCTAGACATACTGCACAGACACCAACAATCAAATCTGATTGAAGGAATCTATGTTGCAATAATCCAGTTTTATGAATGTATTTTATGAATATTCATGTTTTATTGAGAAGCAGGGAAGAAAAGAAGGAAGCAAGGAAAGAAGCAAGGAAGGAGATGGAAATGAGAAGGAGGGTGGCCGTGAAGGAGGGAAAGAGGAAGGAAGGAGATGGGAATGAGATGCAAGGAAGGAAGGAAGGAAGGAAGGAAGGAAGGAAGGAAGGAAGGAAGGAAGGAAGGAAGGAAGGAAGGAAGGAGATGAAAATGAGAAGGAGGAAGTAGTGAAGGAGGGAAAGAGGAAGGAAGAAGATGGGAATGAGATGCAAGGAAGGAAAGAAGAAAGGAAGGAAGAAGATGGAAATGAGATGCAAGGAAGGAAGGAAAGAAGGAAAGAAGGAGATGGAAATGAGAAGGAGGGAGGCAGTGAATGAGGGAGGGAGGGAAAGAGAAAGGAAGGAAGGAGAGGTAACTTGGTTGGAGATGCCCCAGTTCACACAGTTCTGCTTCAATCCTGGATCCATTGAGACTTGGGTTCAAAGGAGAAAGCAATTTGTATTCTGTTTTGTCACAGATAGGACTTTGTTGGCAATCCAAGTTAACACTGGCATTCTTGAACTGACAACTCTTAGGAAAGTATCCCCTCCTTGTGTGTTGCAAACAGCCATTTCTAGTGGGGAAAACAGGACAAAGCAGAGTGGGGGAAAATATTTTTCTTTGCTATATTTCCAGTCGGAATTAGACCATGGCAGAGTCTCTACACAAGACCCATTTTAAGAATTATGTATTAATAGAAAAGCAACTAACTTACCTCTGTTCCTAAATGCTAACTCTGTTGCACATAAAAAACAGAGGAGCTCTGTTCAACTATCACAGCCACCATTTTGACAGTTTTGCTGTACTGTTGTCTGTGGATGCCCCCACTAAATGCAAGCATGGGATAAACTGAGTCTGGTTTGTTCTATCTTTTGAGTGGCCACAGACTACTAGCAAAAGTGGCATTTGATCACAAGGCAAGGAAGCATCGAGAAATGTTTCCCCTTTTGCATTTGAGCATCCAAGAAGGGACAGGAAAGGAGGAAGGGAAGGAGGAAAGACAAATGAAAAGAAGGAAAGAGGGGAAGGAAGAAAAAGGAAAGGAGAATGAAGAGGGAAGAAAAAAGAAGAAAGGGGGGGAAGGAAGGAAGGAAGGAAGGAAGGAAGGAAGGAAGGAAGGAAGGAAGGAAGGAAGGAAGGAAGGAGATTATAATGAAAAGGAGGGAGGGTCTGAGGGAAGTCCTGACTTAGCACTTGGCCACAAGCAGCCCTGATGCCCTTTTGCCATCCCCTTGTCCCCTCCTCCTGACCTTTCCTGGTGGTCTCCCATCCTATTACTGAGAATGCTTTGGTTACAAAGCCAGGTCACCTCATGGGGAGAGGGAGTGGGCTTCCCTCTGACCCACACATTTTGCCCTCCCACACACCATGAGCAACTTGGCCAAGGAGAGCAAGTCAATCAGCAGCATCCTTGAGAAGGAGGTAAGCGCAGCTGGGTGCCCCCTTGAGAAAGGCTGGACTGGGCCTTTGCCCTCCATTGCCCAGGGCTCCAGGCAGCCTGCATCACTGGGGGTTCTCTGCATGGCCTGAGAGGGACAGCAAGGCTCCTCTGGTGGACAAGGGTATGGTGTTTGCCCTGGTTTCACCTTTCTCAGCTGGAGATAATGGATTCCCCCAGCCCCACCAGGGCTACCACAGTCACCCCCCAACACAAGCGACGTTAAGCTGGCCACACCTACCCTAGCCACACCCACCCCTGCTATGCCCACCCTGGCCCCCCAAGGTCAGCCACAACCCTGATGCAGCCCTCAATGAAATCGAGTCTGATACCCCTGTTTTAGTGTATCTGAAGCCAGAGAGGATTTTTTAGATATGCTTCTGCCAAAATAGATCGGGGAGAAAATGATTGATTTCTTAGATATATTTTGCCTGAGGGAACTGCCCCTTAACAAGATCATCAAGAAGGGAATAAGATAGAACTACATAAATGAAAACATTTCAATACATGCACATGTCTCAGATACACATAATAACATCCGAGAACTATTAAGAGAATATTAAAACTTTAGAAATCTTTTCTATCATGCAGATGATCATTCAAACCCAAACAATCATTGGCATCTAATTAAAATCTGATGTGATCTTGCAAAGGTTAATAACTTCAATTTTTGGAGGCAAATTTGTCAAAATCTGTGGTACTCAAACCGTACTTGTTAAAAGCAACATCTCACACACACACGAAATCAGTCTGATCATTCTCAATCTGAAGAATCTCCCCTTAATCAACCTGATGCAAAGAGAACAGAGTTCTTTCATCATTAACAGTCATAAGAATAAAAGAGTTCAAGTGGGATAGTTTAAAATCTCCAACACATCTTCCATCTTTTCTGGTAGTGTGGACAGATAATGGTGCATTGTTGCTCTATTGAAATTAATACTGAGTAAGTACATCAGGCAGCCATATCTATATGTGATATTCTAATAACAATATCAAAACAACTATTATAAACTTTTTCAGAAAATTTAATAAATACTATCTATACTAAATACTATCTATACTATACATGGGAGAGATATGTAAAAAATTCAAGATGGCAGCTGCAACCACACATTCAAAGTCTTGCATGCAGTGCATCTAAACAGAGGTTTTGATTTCAGGGTTGTGGCTGAATTTTGACTCTTTTGACCTTAGTTCCTAACTAAGAACTTTTCAGTGATGGACATGACTGCCTCAGAAAATGGTGGAACCTCTCGCTCTAAAGATGTTTAAAGGCATCCTGAATGGTCATCTGTTGATTCCTGCACTGAGCACAGACCTCTGCTAGGTGATCCACTAGGTGTCCATTATTGGCACAAGTTTCTAGCCAATGGTGGAGACCATGTAAAGAAGTGAACCCAAAATGTTAAAATGTCAAAATTTCAAAAATTTCAAAAACACTAAAATTTTTTTTCAAAAAGTTTAAAAATTCCAAAAAATTCAATTCTTAATAGTCTATTGTGGCTAGTATTGAAGCAGAACTTAAATGCAACTGAGGTTGCCCTCTAGATATAGTTCGTAATCCAAAGACGTATAAAGAATGACTGATGAATAAATATTTGAAATAATAAAATCTAAGCTGAGAGAGGGGAAAAATGAAACCTCAGCTCACAGTTTGGGTCTTTCTTTGGCACCTAACAAGACTATTACAGGTAATTCTCAACATATGACAAAAATTGAGACCAGAATTTCTGTTGTTAAGCAGGACAGTTGGTAAATGAATCATGCCCAATTTTATGACCTTTATTGCCAGAGTCGTTAAATGAATCACTGTAGCTCTCAAGTGAATCAGAGAGTTCGTTAAGCGAATCCAGCTTTCCCCATTGACTTTGCTTGTCAGAGGACAGCTGAGAAGGTCACAGGTGGCAATCAGATGACCATGGAGTGCTGCAACCGTCATAAATATGAGCTTGTTGCTAAGTGCCTAAATTTTGATCAAATAACTTTGAGAACTGGTTGTAAGTCTCTTTTTTGAATGATGTAAGTTTAAATGGTAATTAAACTAATGGTAGTTCAGAAATTCTCCAGTCTTCTCCAGAATTCTCTAAATCCAGGTGACTGTTTCATCCAATGTTTTCCAGAGATAAAAATATTTTGTCTGCAGCTTTCTTAAGGCCATCTTACTATGAATTGCATTGACAACAATAGTAACTAGCACAAAAATTTCCTTTTTTCCCAACAACAATAATGTTACATGTGCCAGAAGATGCAACTGTGTTAGCAGTTTGGTCACTTTCTGCAGTACCTAAAATGCTGAAAAATTCTGGAAAATTAGAGAGAAATGCCAGCTGCCTGAAAGGAGATGGTAGAAAAATGGTTCTTGTTGGTGCTGGTCTGAGAAAAGAAAATCCCCAGATATTGCTTAGAAAACTCTTTTTCCCAAAGCAAATCTATTCCTCCTTGAAAATGTAGCACCGGTGCAGGGAAATTACACCTTTTTCATGCCAAGAGTAAATAGGAAAGTTAACTTTGTATCACAGCCTATCAGGAATATGGATCCCAGTGGTTTAAATACAAATAGATAATTAATGCCATCCTTCCTGGTAGACATAGCCACTTCTTCAGATGGGAGTCTTCATTCTAAGCCAACTTAACTCATTCTGAAAAGAATAAAAGAAGTACATTTTGTTTCTCCTGAAGTGTTTGTAAGATACCATGGTAAGTGCATATTTATTTCTTCATCCAATGGGGCATTCAGTGTCCACTTAGACAAATACAATGATCAGTCAAAATTTGGAACATAATAACAAAAGTAAACCTCTACTGAAATGTTACAGTGTTAATGAAATAAAATGTATTCAATATATTTGATGAATGTATTGATGAAATATTTTTCAAGGTGGTGGTAATATTTTTTGACTCTAGATCATTTGTAAAAGAACCAGTAATTACATTTCAGAAAAGGTTTGTTTGCAATGCTTCTTCAGGATTCCTTATCCCCACTGCTGTTCAAAACATGTCAATGTTCTTATCAAATTGGCTTTTGCCAGCAATAGAACCATATATATTTAATCTGATTTCCACCTCATATAAAGCACTAACAGCATCTTGAATTATGCCAGATCAGAAACAAATTAGTGATTATTTGACAACCGAGTATATGCTTCTTATATGGCCCCAGTTAGTAGTTTGGTCTGCAATATGTATAATCTGAAGTTTCAGAACAGTTTTCAAGGGCTGTCTGTCATGCAGTATATTCTAATGGTACAAATGGGATGTAAGTGAGATTTGTACATCATGACTGAATCTGACAGATGCAGGAAAAAGACATGCTAGTCTTAATGAAATAAAGAAACTTCTGAGCACCATCAAAAATTGAGCATCCAAACTCAGACTCCCAAATAATGAATAAGAGGTTTCAAGAGAAGCATTACTTTGTCTGACACAGATAGAATCACTGTTTCCTGAACTTCTTTTTGTCTGGCTAGGAACAAATTCTGTCTTATCTATATTAGATGTAGTTTCTTTGCCTTTTTAAAAGTCCATTATTAACCTCAGCCATTGCAGCCCAGTTTGTACCAGCTTCATTGGATTTCATTGGAAAAACATGGAAAGGATTGTCAGCTTCATATAGGGAGTAGCAGATTCAAAACTGGTTTTTCATGTCCACAATCACTTCTCTACTCTGTTATCTCACACTCTTTAGAGCAAAGATGTCAAACTCACAATGTTATGTGACATGTCATGACATGTCGTGACTTTTTTTCCATTGCCGGCAATGGGGTGGGTGCATTTTCAGCGTGACACATCTGGCCCGCAGGCCGGCAGTTTGACACCCCTGTTTTAGAGTTTTTTTTCCTAGGTATACATAATAGTACTAGAATCAACGGTCTTCACCCAATCTGATTATATAACTACTATTTTGTGCATAGTCCTTTTTTTATATTCTCTTGCGCATAGTGGTGTTTTGATATTTTCTTCAGAACTTCAGAAACAGGGAGTATTAGAACTTATCATTTTCTAGAGATTCTTACGAATGTCTTTGATTAACCTGCTAATAAACCTCATGCTAAACTCTATCACTGTAGCCACAATATGTGAACTTGCTCCAATAGAAAAAAAAATAGGAAAAAGAAATTGCAGAAGACCTTGATCAATCATGTTTGTTTTTCAAATGGATAGCAGCAAAAGACAAGTCTCTGTTACTGTTAGTTCTATGATAACTGTCATTCTCCTTCCCAAGAAAAATGAAAATGGATTTTCAAAGAGGAAAAGAAAACAAGAAAATGTTTTTTTAAAAAAACCATAGTGATCTAATTTTCTTAACATCAACATTCATGAAACTGAATTCCACTAATAAATTATTAGGCAAAATGCAAGTTTGCCAAACTGTTTAAAGATAATGTTTAATTGATATATAATTACATTTCCTTTAACAGAAAGATGAAATATATTGAGTGCAAAAATCTTTGGAGCTGACATCAATTTCCTGGAATCTAAACTTAATTTTTGATCCCCATGAGAAAGTTCCCTTCAATTTTGAGATCTAATTGTGCATGATTTTCTCTTTCAGTGAAGAATCAACTAAACCAGTGAGATGACTGGAGGAAACTGCACTGAGGTGGAAGAGTTTATTCTTCTAGGATTCACAGATCATGTAACCCTACAGCGTGTGCTCTTTGTGATATTTTTACTGATTTATGTTCTCACTATTTTGGGGAATATTGGGATCATTGTGGTTGTGAAAAATGATTCTCACCTTGAAACCCCCATGTATTTCCTTCTGAGCAACTTATCCTTCTTAGACCTTTGCTATTCATCTGCTATCACCCCAAAGATGCTGATAAATTTCCTGGTACAGAAGAAAGTTATTTCATACACTGGATGTTTCTTACAGCAATATTTTTATTGCTGTTTTGCAACTACTGAATGCTACCTTGTGGCTGTGATGGCATATGATCGATATGTGGCCATCTGCAAACCATTGAAGTATACCACCATCATGTCCAGAACGGTCTGTATTCCATTAGTGGTGTTCTGCTATATAGCTGGACTTCTGAATTCATCCATACAAGTGGGATTTCGTTTAAGATTAACTTGCTGTAATTCCAACATTATCAACCATTTCTTCTGTGATGGACCCCCTCTGACTCATCTTTATTGTTATGACATCCAGCTTGTTCAGATTCTGCTCTTTGCTTTTGTAGGATTTAATGAGATTGCAACTACATCCCTAGTGGTAATCTCCTATTGCTGTATCATTGTCACAGTCCTCCAAATGCGTTCACTTGAAAGTATTTACAAAGCATTCTCTACCTGCTCTTCCCACCTGATTGTTGTCTCCACTTTCTATGGGACTGTTCTTTTCATGTACTTGCGGCCTAGCTCCAGCTATTCCTTGGAGCAAGACAAGATCGTATCTGTCTTTTATGCTGTGATCATTCCTATGCTCAACCCAATGATATATAGTTTAAGGAATAAAGAAGTTAGAAAAGCCATGAAAAAAACATTTCAAAGAATAGCCACTTCCAAGTGAGTTGCACACAAAATTTAGGAAAACATATTCACGCTATTCATTTGCCACAAATGCATTATATCACACTTACAGAAAAATCTTCATGGTATCTATAATCGTTTTAGAGTAATTTTTTAGCTATCCTTCCAAAGCTTTTGTGCTGGATTTCTTTTATTCGTGCAATGAATGTTTTGTGACATGTCACTGAGCAGAATAAATTCCCTTCATGAAATCCACATTCCAATAACCCTGCACATTGTTTACCCTTTTCATGTTTCTAGATTGCATGTCGGAACTGGCTTCATAAGGAAAGTTGCTCCATCTCTTCAAGCTTCTGTTGTAATGTTGTGGTCAAAATGACTGTTCAGTCCTCCATATTTTATCATTTCCCCCCTTCTGAAAGATGCCTTGTTTCTGAAAGGAAACACATGTTTGGGAAACACATGTTTGGGAGTTACAGAGTCAAAGACAGAACACAATTGTTCTACTTTTCTTTATTGGCAGCCAGTTTTAATGATACTACAATCCTACATATGTACATAAATGATTTCAGTGTGAGTTATTTAGAGAAACAAATGTAAAATTCTAATGCAGGCTCTAGACAACTAAGGATTACCATTTGTAAAAATCCTGTAGCATTCTGATGCCTGGGTGAAAACAAATATTGACAACAACTGTCCCTTAACCCAGACTCCCTGTGCCTCAAGTTCTAACTTGAAATCCCATGATTTTGACTCTGGACCTAGACTATCTGACAAACCTTCTACAACAATATTTGGACCATTGGACTTCATTTGGATGCTCTTGCACTCTCTGTTTCAGATTGGAAGTCCTTTAAGGCAAGCTTACTGAACATTGGGGAATTCCCTCCACCCCCCATTCTCTCTGTGTGCATTTGTATTCATATTTCCTTTTTTATTTACTTCATAAAACTTATCAGTGAAATTTGCAACTACCTCTCTACAGTCACCTCTACTTGTGTGTGCTTGGTCTGGCACAGGACAATACCAAGTTTATGAAAATTATCTAGACCCAGTCCAGAGTCCAGTTGCTTAATTCAGAGTCAAATTGCATCAGCATGTAAGGTTTACATCCCTGTCTTGTGAAAGCTCCTCACAAACTGATTTCTCAGAGCAAAATATTGTTCTATTGGTTATACTCTGACTTTAAGAAAATGTCCCTTTATGGCATGATCAAAAAATATGAGATTAAACTTCTTAATACATAACATCAAAAGATGCTGGATGAATTCCAGGCCAGAAAATCAACACACAATCTAACATTGTCACAATGTAGAAGAGGAGAAGCCTGGGTAGATCAGTCATTTGGAAAATCTAGCTTAACCACTGGAAGCCAGTGCCTTGCCTAAAAATTCAGGCTACTTTCACATGTTTCTTTGGGGCTGCTTCTATATCTGTTCTGGGTCTGTCTCATCCCATCCCATCATCCTTCTTGGGAAGTTAAGCTAATTTACTTTTGGCATGGAAGTGGATCTCAACAAAAGATGAACTTATTTTTGTTGATTTATAATTGGGAAGGAAGGAAGGAAGGAAGGAAGGAAGGAAGGAAGGAAGGAAGGAAGGAAGGAAGGAAGGAAAGAAGGAAGGAAGGAAGACTAGAAAAGTCAGAAAAGGAAACAATGATAAAATGTTTGTACAGTAACAGTTAAAAAATAACAGTGATTCTCCTAATACCGTGAGATACATTTTTATACTCAAAGTTCTACTCTGTTTCTAATATTAAAGGCTGCATGTTTTGAAGAGGATAACATGCAAATTGAATTTGATCGTTCTTCACATAACATACTTAAATTGTGGGATAATCTCACTTGAAAGGGGAAGTAATTTATCGTTCCTCTTTAGGAAAGATTCCTTTTCATTGACTAATAGAGGTACAAACAAGTGAAAACATATATTTTTAAGATTTTTTTTTTAAAAATTGTGTGTTACACCAAGTGTTGCAAATTACATATTTTTATATGGATTGTCCTTTTTAAAAAGATGATGATGATGATGATGATGATTTCTTTAGTCTCAGGAGTTAGTAATAAAGCTTTGACATACAATAAGTTCTTAAAGGTTCATTTGTTTTGCTTTTATTATGTATAATAAAATGTGTGAGTGAGTTAACTGAGAACAGTATGTCAAAATGCTGTATGTAACTTTTTCATTTTAACTAGCTAACAGCTAGTGCATAGATCTATTCTTTGGACATTTCTCGTGATGGCCACCATATACAGACAGCAGTGGTGTGGCTTCAAAGTATGAGGCAGTATCCAGCAGATGACAGCACCCAGTTGGCCTTGCTTTATTTGTAAAGCTGGGATGGATTTGGTTAGTGATTTATGATATTCTGAAATGGTAACTATGACTGTTAGACTGAGAAGTTGAAAAGCATCCTACAAGAAAGCAATGGCAAACACGTCCATATTTTTGCTGGAACTAATGCACAGACACCAACAATCTAATCTGACTGAAGGAATCTGTATACTGTAATAATCCTATATTTATGAGTATGTTTTCATGAATATTCATATTTTATGCATACCACTATATAAATAAACCTTAAGAAATAAAATATTGCAAATTCTATTTTATATTTTGTTTGTTGTGGGATGTTTTAAATTCCAAGGTAAATTCATTCAAGAAATACTGTGTTGTTATTTATGTAGAGTATTTATTATTCCCATTTCTTCAGCAGCTCAAGATAATGAAACATGGAGATTTCTCTTCACCATCTTTATTCCCATTTCTCTTTTGGTAATTCAGAGTAACTTAACATGGACATTTCTCTTCATTTTATCCCCACAATATCAACCTTGAGAGGAAGAGTAGGCTAAAAAACTGAGAATGATCTAACTTTACCCAGTGAGTTTTTATAACAACCACTTCAATTACCATCGCTATCATCTTCACAGATATGCAAAATATTCAGAAGAAATATGTCACAAAACATATACATACTTCTTCTTGAAATATCCAAGCAGCCACATCCTTTGGAGGAGTCATACTATATTGGATGCACAGCAACTTTCCTTTGCTATGGCATATGATCATTTGTAATCCCTTGCTGTATATTGTCATGTGTTTGGCTTGTTGGGGTCCTATGCATGTGGGTTTCTAAATGCAACTATACAGATAGGTTTTACCTTAAAAATGTCATTTGAGGACTTCAATGTCATCAACAATTTCTTCTGTGATTGGCCACCTTTAATCAAGCTGGCCTGCTCTGATATCTGTCTCAATCAAATCAATCAAAAATCAAAATCAAATGTTTTTGTTTTTGTTGGATTTAATGAAGTTACCACCACATTCATAATCCTCCTCTCTTACTGTTGCATCTTCTCTACCATGCAGACCACAGAGAGAAAATGTAAGGCTTTCTCCACTTGCACTGCACATCTGACCACTGTTAGCTTGTTCTATGAAACCCTTCTTTTTATGTATTTGCCACCCAGCTCTAGTTTCTCCCTGGAACAGGATAAAATTGTCTCAATGATTTTATCACTGTGGCAATCCCCTTTCTCATCCCTTTGATATATAGCCTCAGGAACCAAAAAGTGAAGGTCGCCCTAGTGAAAGCAAGGAAAAGACTCAGAATATCAAAATTAAGGTGTCATCCATAGAGAAGAATGTAGCTTAGAGAAGTCTTTCAACTGACATGAGAAACAAGGAGAAGAGAACACTTTAAAGGATAATTAAAGCAAACAAAACATTGAATAAAATAATGCTGAAATTTTACCAAGAAAATAGCAAGGACTTGTTAAGACCGTCTCCAAGAATTGGACATGACTGAACAGATATCCAGAATATCCTCTGGAGCAGATAATTCTTACCTGTCCCACACTAACTATATTCCATCTTTATTAGAAAAGTGGTAACTTGTGGTGGTAAAAAGATGGAAATAGTATTTATTTTATTATTTAATTAATTTATATGCTGCCCAACTCTCACTGACTCTGAGCCTTGGAAACTTTGACCATATTATATATGGTGATATATTTGTATATTGTATGTCTCTTTAGTGTATTTATAAACTGGTGTTTGTAAATATTGTAATTTGCAGAATCTACACTAGAAGGTATTGTCTATACAAAGTTTTGCATGCGTATTGATATATCCATATTGAATTGTACATTTGTTTGTTTGCATATTCACATTATACTTTATATTTTCTCCCTGCAATTCCAGGCATGTTTATGACTTTCAAAATACACTTAGAATATATCATCTAGTTTGGAAAATATTGAGGACTTGGGAATGTGTCCTGCTAGTCCCTTATCTCTATGGAGGCAATTTGCAAGCTTGCTACAATACAAAAACAGCACTGATTTGTATCAAGGATGCTATGTTAGCTTTCAAAGCATTTCTTTCACACCTGGAGGACATCCCAGCCTTATCTCCAATTCCTGGATTAATTATAATTACTTTCCTTCTTTCTTGTTTTTATGCTCATGCCTTGTATTTTGATCAAACCACTACAGTATCTTAGTTTGTGTATTGCTGACATGCTTGCTCTTGGCTACCCCAGTATTCTTCTGGAACTCTAATCCTTGGTAAAGACACCATTTTTCCTGTTAAGCCTCCCCAAACCAGCTACATCTTTAATAATAGTAGACAATTTTTGTTCTGAACATTGTCCCTGGATGTCTGGCTCTGCCTATTTGTCAATTATTTTCTTGCCTTTATATTCAAAACTGAGGAGTGTCCTCAGGCAATTAGAAACAATTTGTACCTCTTTAAATTTCAGATACAATTAATTCAGCATTCAAGAATAGGAATTTGTAGTGGACAATCTATGTCTCTAAATTATGGACACTGGCAAAATTTGAACTGAGTTGGTCTTATATCAAACTTAATTAAAGTACTCAATATCTAAACTTGTATGAAGCCTAACTGCATGTTTAGGTTCTAGCAGAAGAGTTTAGTGGAAAAGGAAGAACAATTAAGAGTTGAAGACTGAGTTTTTCCAGAGGATCTTTGGGAATGATGCTGTATGTTGTGTTTCAGCTTTATCTGACTTATTTTATTTTATTAAGCATTGGAATCACTGAGAGTCCTGAATTGTAGCAACATATAGTTTGTTAAGTAAGTAAGTAAATATATACATACATGCATACATGCACACATATGAGACACGACATCTTTTCAGAATAAAGGTGTAGCTTAGATTCATCTCCCCTGCCCTGGTCAAACTGAGACATCATCATCCCATACTGTGTGTGACAATTATTCCTTATTTGACTTTTTCTGTGAATAATTGTCAGCCACAGATCAAAAGAAGGCAATGTCAAGATTTGGCCAGACCTGAAATATCAATGTACATTGACAATTGTTTAATGCCATGGAATATGGAAGGTGCTTTTTTTAAAAAATATATGTAATTTTTATTCTCTTGAGCAGTAATTAAAATACAAAAATAATCACCAGAGGAAAATGGCATGTTTTGATGTTCAAGACACTGAATATTTTTCAGTGATCATTTAAGTCTCTATTTAGAACAGCTTTATAAAATTATCCTCCACATACACACACTTTTCCTTTATTACTTTATGGTTATAACTTTACTGATTATGTACTTTTAAAAGGTGGCTAAAAGTGGTTCATAACTCTCCCTACTAATACCCAGGACACTCATGATGTCTAATACCCTGGATGATGCCTTATTCCCAACTAACACCCAGGATGATTAAAAGTGGTTCACAAGTCTCTGTACTCTTTAAATCCAGAGGTAATGCATGCAACAACAGCATTTCTGGGTTGTAAATTGGTTGCCAAGAGTGCTATTAACTCAGCTACTGTTCTTTAAAGACTTATTTACTAATCTGAGTAAAATATTTATTTGATCAGTATTCTACATTCAGCAAAAAGTAAATGGTTTTAATGTATCTGAAGCCAGAGAGCATTTTTTTTTAAAATATGCCTCTGCCAAAATAAATCAGAGAGAAAATGACTGATTACTTGGATATGTTGTATCTGAGGGAAGTGGCCTTAACAAGATCATCAAAGTAGGAAATAAGGTAGAACTACTGCATATAAGTAAAAGGTTTTAAATGCATGCACGTCTCAGAAACACAAAATAGTATGTGAGAATTCTCAAGAGAATACTAAAACTTTAGAAATCCTTTCTATCAAGAAGATTGTCATCTCAAGTCAACTGATCACAAAAGCAAAGACTTCTAATTAAAATCCATGATCTGATCGTTCAGAAGCTAATATGATCAATCTTTTGAGGCAAAATTTGTCAAACTCCCTGATACTCAATACATACTTATTAAAAGTTGATACTATCAGATACACACAATCAGCCTGGTCATTCTCAGACTGAAAAATCTCCCCTTTATCAGCCAGATGCAAAGAGAACAAAGCTCCTACCTACTTCATTATCAAGCAGAAGTATAAAGAAGTTCAACTGATGAAGTTTGTTACTCTTCATATCTTCATCAAATCTTCCATCTATTCTGGTAGTGTGAAAGCATAATTATAGTACTGATGTCTTATTACAATTAACTGAGTAATAAGTACATCAGTCAGCCATATCACTATATAATAATTACAACATCAAAACAACCATTACAAATGTTTTCAAAAAAATTAGTTGGACTCAGTAAATACTATCTATAGCAGGCATGTGAAACCTGCGGCATCACATGACATCGCACGACATATCACGACTTTTTCCCCATTGCCAGCAATGGGGTAGGCGCGGCTTTGGCATGATGCATCCAGCCTGCAGGCCGGCAGTTTGACATGCCTGACCTATAGTATTCAGAGGCAATCACATGGGAAAGATACGTAAAAAAAAAATTCAAGATGGCAGCTGCAACCACAGATTCAAAGCCCTGCATGCAACGCATCTAAAAAGGTTCAGAGTTTTGATTTCAGGGTTATGGCCAAATCATGACTATTTTGACCTCAGCTGACCTTCTTCCATGGCTGTCTGATACTAATCTATCCTTATAGTCCCTTTCAGGAAAACATTCAGATTATCTCGAAACACCTTTTGTTCTTCTGAAAATGTTAACCAAAGACTGCTTGGTTCAGCAATACAGCCTATAGGTAAGGCTGCAGATTATGGATATTGTAGCATCTAAATACTGCATGTTACCCCTATTGACCAAGAGAGGACAATCATTTGTGGCTTAGAAACACATTTATTTTCTGGCATGCTTCCTCTTCATCACCTCCCACCACCTCTTTGGCCATGAAAATTGCATGGATATATCAGATTACTGGATTGGCCTATCCTGCAGAAGTGTACAACATTTTATATCCTCCCTCTGCTTCTTAAACTTAGTAATGTGTTATATTAATATTTAAGCATACTCCAATCCTTACAAATTCAAATGACATAAAGCTAAGGAAGGGAAAGTGATTCCTAACAGTTGTTGAACACACTGGCCAAAATCCAGGCACAGTTGTGTGTAGGGCTGCCTCAAAAATTGCTTTTCTACTCCAGCTAAAAAAGGGTTCAAATATTTCTTAAGACAGAGGATATTTTTCTGGCCTCTGCAGCTCCAAGATATCAGCAGAACAAACATCTTCTTAGGATGCAGAGAAAACAAGAAGCAGATGCTGATCCTTGGCACTCAGTTAAAATTGGTCCCTACTCAAATCCATCCTGTTTGCAGATTAGAATTAAGGAGGGGAATTGTGGAGGTAGAGAAGAGGAGGTGGCAGAACAAGCAGGGACAAACTCCACTTATTATTAAAGGTGTTTCATTTGCCTCCTGGTGTTACTCAGAAGGAACTCATCAATACTTATTAACAAGTAGATGTCAGAGTGTATGCAGGAAACATTTCCCCTGCCTGCCTTATCAATGATTTCTCTTCAGGAAGAACTCGTGTGCCATTTCAAGCTTTCTTAGGGATATGAACCTTATGTACCCATAGTTTTATAATAAAGGAGACCATCATGGGGGGGGGGACATTCTGATTTTTATTCTTTAAGTAATACTATCTCTACCAATAGTCTTCAAGAAATACATTACAAAGTTACACAACCACAAATATAGGAATGCTGGAATTGCCTTTAGGTTTCCTTCTGAGAAATCCATTTTCTCTGTCAACGCGAAGGATGGACTTTTTATGAGCACTTGGTTGATAAAGGGTCTGTCTTTATTTTGGTATATCACTTGCTTACCCTGGCAGTACATGAGAAAATCTATTCAGCAAGTTGATGGAGAAATGTTTTTTCCTCACCAGCTTTTGAAAAGCTCCTTTCACTTCCTTGTTCCTCAGACTATAAATCAGAGGGTTCAGCATGGGGATCACCATTGTGTAGAATACAGAGGTAATTCTGTTTGAATTCTTCCCATGGCTTACATTAGGCTGGCAATATATTAGGAGAATTGTCACATGGAAGATTGAGATCGCTGTGAAGTGAGAGGCACAAGTGGAGAAAGCCTTGTATTTTCCCTTGCTGGAGTGAATCCTTGAAACACACACAATAATTAAAATGTAGGACATGAGAATAATGATGATGGTGCTACTTTCCACAAAGGTGGCAAAAATGAAAAGCAGTGTCTTATTGAGCTGGGTGTCTGAACAAGAAAGAATTAACACTGGTACAACATCACAAAAGAAGTGGTTGATGACATTTCCACAAAATGTTAGCCGAAAAGCAGAGATTGTATGAACTAGAGCACAAATAATGCCCCATAGATAAGAACTAAGCACTAGAAAGATGCACACATTTCTGGACATAATCACAGTGTACAACAAAGGATTACAAATGGCCACATACCGGTCATATGCCATTGCAGCCAAGAGAAAAGATTCAGTAACAACAAACATGATGAACAGGTACATCTGAACAGCACAGGCAAACAAAGAAATGCTTTTTATTGCAGAGGCAGTACCCATCAACAATTTGGGTGTTATAGATGAAGAATAACAAATGTCAATAAAAGATAGATGGCTGAGGAAGAAGTACATTGGGGTATGGAGATGAGATTCAACCTTGATTAACAGGATGATTCCAAGATTTCCCACTACAGTCATAATGTAGATCACAAGAAATATCAGAAAGAGAATGACCTGCAGATCTTCTGGGTGGTCTGAGAAACCCAAAAGAAAAAATTGGGTCACCAGTGTGTAATTTCCTTTCTCCATTCTTTTAGGATCATGAACTGGAAAGTACCACATTTGATACAATATGAAGAGACATTTGACCTAGAAACTAGCTAAAGAACATGACGATTTATTCTGCATTATATTTTGTTCTTCAAAGAGTAATTTCTTTTTTCACCTGTAAATGTTATTCCTTTGGGGGAGGGGAGAGGAGAGAGAAAAAGGAAAATAAATAAAACAGCAATAAAGGAGTGTTTATCAACATTTTTTTAAAAAAATAATCAGCTGCCAACCGATCACTTACTAAAATCAATCAAAGCATTTGAAAAGAGATTTCAAGTAAAATCCTTCATAATATTGCAGTCCCAGTTGCAGTTATTTCTCTATAGCCTATTAGATCCATGTATGTATGTATGTATGTATGTATGTATGTATGTATGTATGTATGTATATTGGTATGTTGGTATCAACAGTCTGCTTAGGTTTTTTTTTTCTGCTCACTTTATAGAAGCATCTCTCATCAGCTGTAAAATCAAGACATCAGTCAAACAGCATTCCATTGCTATTTGGATGGTGGACTGTCTAAGAAAGATCCACCAGCACCAGCCATTATGAAGTAGTCTCACATTAGTCAACATTTCTATGAAGGTTGGAAATGCTTGAATTTCACAGGCAGTGAGAACAGTTGAAATCTTAAACAAACTTCCCAACTTAGAGCTGTTAGAAAATTACTGTGAATAATTTCCAGCTTAGTTTGCACCCAGCACACTCCCAATCAATCTCTACATTCAGATGAGAGAAAGCACACAAATCTCTCAGTACAACTAACAAAAATATAGCTTGATGTTTGTTATGAAACATCATCAGACATCAAAAATATTTAACTGGCAAAGTGGATAACAAGGAGGCAAAAGCAGGGGGAAAAAAGACACAAACAGGTATAAATTTATATTATTTGTATCTATCAAAAGGGCCAGAATTTTCCACAGCTATGGTACTACTGGAAATTATATTGTAAGTAATTAGCATGGATAGTCCAAAAAGGAGCTTTTTCTTTGGTTATTCAGCTTTAATCCCGTATGTCCATAGTACTAACAGAATACTGATGGTAAGTAGGACACTAATGATCACTCCTCTATTCTGCACCACGAAAGAAACAATTTGGTAGATGGAGAAGGCCTCCAAAACAGGCATTTTTCCCCACATATTTTACTAAGTCTCTTTCTGTTGCAGCTCATGTACCTTCCATATCTTGATCACAGTATAAATGGATAAATATAAACACTCTCAGATTGCAACCTGTAGCAGTCATCTTCAAATTACCACAAATTGTGAAACAAGGTTGAAAGCCCCTACTCAAGTTATTAGAATCAACACTTAACTATATGGATAGCTTTCTGGTTTTCATGGAGTTCAGACTAAAGGGCACCTTTTGAATTAGAAAATGAACAGGTTCCAATTTGTCAAGAGGGTCCTAAGCATTGCTCTGCACAGCTTCTAGGGGTCAAGTCAATTCGATAAGTTTTGATCAAATTACCTCTTTGAAGCAGTTTCTCAGCTGAAGCAAGGTTCAGTTCAAAAGGACCTGTTTCCCCGTTATAGCCTATGCACAAATCTTTTTTTTCTCCAAGAAAATAGATTGATTCTTGAATAGAATAAATTTGGCTTGCATGCTGATTTGCAAATAACTGAATCATGCTTTCTTCAAATTTCAGATCTCCTGTTTGATTTTCAAACTTTAAGTTAGATTGGGCTAAATTTAATTTTATTCCAGATCTTACCAGGTGCTATCTGACAATGGAAAGCAACAGAGCAACACTAGACACCTGCAGTTGCCCAGCCAATGGCAACAAACTCCTCTTCCTTGACCCCAAAGACAAATGCCACTGGAATGGATGAGGGCCTTCTTTTCTATCATCTCTGTGCCCTTTGGGATATGATCTCTGGAGTACTTTAAATTTGTTGCCTCAAGAGAAGGGATTCCTCAAGAAATATCAGCAGCAGTGAAAGATTTCTGTAAAAGATATATGTTTTTGCTTTTACATAGCTTTGTCCCCTGGTGTCCAGCCAGCACCAGCTTTCTTTTCCAAGCTTCAACATTCAGGGGTCAGAGACAAGCTATTCTCTTATCTGTAAAAGAGAGATCACAGCAACCCTATACATATCCCTTTGAAGTCTGAAGGTTGAGTCATGGCAGCTGGACTTATTTTCTTGTTGGTTTGAGACATTTTGCTGCTTATCAGAGCAGCTTCATCAGCCAGAGCAAATTAGTTAGGCCAGGAGTCATTGGAATGTACCAACTCCTTCTTTAGGGAGGAAACCCCTGAGGTTGATGCTGGAGGAGTTGGTACATTCCAACGACTCTGTCTAACTAAATGTCTATGGAGATTCTCAGTCATCCAGATCATGGTTGCCCAAAGGTGCTTTTTCAAAAAGCAACTGGACTTTCTTGTTGTTTTTTTCCTTGAAAACATTTCTCTTCAAGGAAAAAACAAGACCATCCAGTTGCCTTTTGAAATAGCACCTTTGGGTCTGTCTAACTAACTTGCTCTGATTGAGGAAGCTGCTTGGATGAGCAGTAAAATGTCTCTAATAAGAAAATAAGTTCAGTTGCTATGATTCAACTTTTAGACAGCTTTACCTGGATGGCTGAGAATCTTCATCAACTTCCCTCTGAAGTGTTCTAGCTTAATTGCTAAGTGATCCTTATATGATGTGTACTTATCAATAGATTGTGAACTGGAGAGGACAAACAAATTGTTCAGATCACTTTTTAGACACACCCTATACTAGTTATATTTATATGGAATCTCTTCCTCAAAACTGGGGAATAAGGAGACTGAACTGAAAAGGTTTCTGTAGCACAGGAATACTTGCATATGTTTGTCTAAAAAAATTACCAATGCCTATCTCATCAATCAATTTTAAAAGCCCTTGAAACTTCTTACATCTGTATCTGTAGCCACATTAGATTAATATCCCACATTTTCTCCAGTTCTCAGAAGGTAGCAGCAGTAGCACTTAGCTGCCCTGGGCTAAGACTGAAAAAAATTAAACAGGGTCAGATCCTTGAATAGGAGACCACTGACAAGACTGCAAAATTCCACGTTGGATAACTAGATTGGGAAGTTGAAAAACATCTTGAAAGAAGGCAATAGCAAACAAGTTTCATAGTGTTGACATTCTTCAAGAAAATCCCACCACACTCCACAAAGACTGTCTATGAAAACATCAGGAATCAAGCTTGATTTGAAGAAATCATTACCTTTGCTTCTTTCTCTAGGAGAATAAGGCAGTGTACAGAGTACTCATTAATTTTTCCCAAAACTGTATGTGTTAGTGTTGGCTGAATGATAGTGATTGGCCCCAAACCAATAAACTATAGTAATCCATGTCTGAGGATTACTACTTGGGTCTTCCCAGTCCAAATCCAACACTTTGACCCTTATACCTAAAGTTCTCTCAATATCTTGCTTTATTTCTTTGTTTGATTGCATGGCTGACATCACTCAACGATCTTCTCTTTATGGTTTGACACAACCTTTTTAAAATATATTTTCTGAAATTGGTCTGTTTGAAAGAGATAGGTCACCTGTAGTGCACAAACACTTCCAAGCTTAATATATTCCAATTTATTATCAAAGCCAAAGAATGTGAGTTTATGTAAATGGCCTGCCCCATTCTGAAAATCCCATTAACTAATGGGATAACAGTTAAGTGATTCAGAAGAAAATAGCCATACCATGTCAAAGAGATTCTCTTGATAAACAAGTGAGGTTTTTAAAGGTTTTTTAAAAAATAGAAAGAATGATCCTATAGGGTAAGGATAAAATTAATGGCAGAGGAGACATCATTTCCTAAATTTGCTAGTTCAAGGCTGGCTAAAACAATTATTGGTTTTGTCTGTCACTTAAAGCACCTTCAGCTGCAGGACCATAGTGTTCAGCTTTGAGTTCTGATCCTAACTTCACCATCTCAGACTGGCACCATGTTTACTTCTGTTTTGCTATTCAACCATATCCTATCATCTGCTGAAGATCATCTGAAAGGCCACAGAGGTCCTTAACAGCTTTTTCATCATACTGCTGACAATGCTAACTGTATTAGCAAATGTTGGACTTTATTGACTAATTTAAAGGGTGGTTTCTCCTTTTTTCACATTTGCCAATTGGACCTGTCCACAATGATTTTATTGCCTGGCACACAGTACAACTCTTGACACACCACAAAAAATATGGCTAGTTTGGCACTTGGGTACTTAAGCTTGTCCACTCCGTAACGGTAAAAGATATGCAAGATATAATGGGAAATGCTATATCTCAAATTAGAGGGGAAGTGAAAGAGCTTTTAGTGGAGAATAATATTATTTTGAGGCAAGATATAGTTGTGGCTCTAAAAGGACTTGCTTCTGTGGTTGAGAAGCTGGATTCTCGAGTGGAAGAAGTGGAAGATAAGGTGGAGGTTCTGGAGGATAAATTTGAAGGCATGGAAAAAAAAGATGGAAATTTCACAAGATGATATTGTTATGTCTCAATATAGAGAAATGGAATTCACTTTAAGAATCAGGGGGCTGAGAAAAGACATGCAGAGAGATTGTAGCAAATGATTTCGCTGTGGTTCTGGATAGAGAAAAAGAGGCAATATCTAGGGAAATTGAAAAAATATTTAGAGTTAACTCCTGGGTTGCAAAGCAAAGAAATTTGCCAAGAGATGTGGTAATTTATTTTGGGAAAAGATCTCTGCGTAATGAAATTATACAAGCTTTTTACAATAAGAGGTTTCAGATTGCTGCACAAGATGTTATAATTCTAAAGGAGATTCCATCTAAAATTTTAAGAAGAAGAAAAGAGTTTGCCTTCTTAGCTGATGAACTTAAAAAAAGGTTGATGCCATTCAGATGGGAGATCCCGATTGGCATAGTGGTGAGTCATGCGGGGATGCGTTACAGACTTAATACTGTTTCTAAAGCAAAGGAGTTTTATATGTCGGTCCTGGGAGCACGCTCATCACCACCTATGATGATGAAAGTTTTGGATGGCAAGGAGGCAGAACAGCAGTCTGAAGTAGTATTGATGGAAGCTGGAAAATTACAGGCTGACTGGTTGCAACAAGCAGGGATGAAAGAGCAAAGGATGACCCAGGCAGCCACAGACGTAAGGAAAAGGAACAACAGAAGAAAGATGTTAAAGAAGCTTTACAAGAATCTGTTTCTGAGCCTGTGGGAGGAGCAAGACCCAAGAGTTCTGCGGTACATTCTTCAATGGCAGATCTTCAAGCAGTCTTCTCCAGGCTTATGGCCAAGGGAGATGGTCAAGCTCCTGACATGGAATGCTAATGGCCTCAATTCCCCTCAGAAAGAAAATATTTCACTATTTAAAGCAACATAACAATGATATTATTTGTTTGCAGGAAACACATATTATTTCTAAGGATCAAAAATATTTAGTTAACACCCGACTGGGATCTCATTTTGTATCTTTTGCTCTTGGGAAAAAAGGGGGTATAGTTATTTATGTTAAGCAAAATTTATCAGCTTCTTTAGTAGATTCTGATCCTCAAGAGAGATATGTTATGATTGAAGTGGGACTGTATGGTAAGAAAGTACTTATAGTAGGTTTGTATGCACCAAATCAACAACAGGAACAATTTTACAGACTGCTACATCAAAAGTTGACTTTGCTGGACTATAGATCTGTTATATTAATGGGAGACTGAATGGTGTTTTAGATACACAAAGAGACAAAAAAGGATCTTCTACTTCTTTTAAACAGGCTAAATTACCTAAGGCTTTTTTTGATTTGAAAGAGGACTGGGAGTTGAGAGACTATTGGCGTGAACACAATTTGGAGGAGAGAGACTTCACCTTTTTCTCGGATAGACACCAATCTTTTTCAAGAATTGATTTTTTTTTATTACAACGGACTTATATTTTAGGGTAAAGAATGCTAAGATTTTTCCTAGAACATTGACGGATCATAGTCCAGTTTGGATGGAATTGGTTAATGAAAAAGAGGAGAGGAGATCTTGGAGGATGAATGAAAATTTATTTAGACAAGAAAAGAATGTTCAGAAATTAAAGGAGCAATTAAAGGAATATTTTGCTTTAAATATGTATAAGGGAACTTCAATGCCAATGGTTTGGGATGCAGGTAAAGCTTACATGCGGGGGGTCTTGATACAAATGAATAAGGTTTATAGACAGAACCAGGTGCAGAAATGTAAGGACTTGGAAGAGGAGATTAAATTAAAAGAAAAAGCCTTAATTGTGAATCCTACAGATGAGAAGATTAAAGAATCTATAAAATTGATTAAAACACAATTTAACATGTTGATGGCTGATCAAACTGCAACCAACTTACTATATATGAAACATAATACATTTTGCAATGCTAACAAACCAGGGAGATGGTTGGCTTATCAATTGCGAAAGAAGCAGAGGTTGAGGACTATAGATAAAATAAATTATAATGGTAAAGTGGTATATCAGAAGGAGCTGATTAAGAAATCCTTTTTAGACTATTATAAAAAATTATATAGGGGAATGAAAGTACAGGCTTTAGATATAGATAAATATATACAAGATGCTCACTTCCCTAAATTAACAGAAGATCAGAAACAAGAAATTAACGGTTTGATTACCAGTGAGGAAGTTGAAATAGTAATTAAAGAACTAAAATTAGGTAAAGCACCGGGTACTGATAGACTGACATCTATTTATTACAAAACCTTGGTAGAAGAGTTGAAACAACCTTTAAGAGAACTTTTTAATAATATATTACAGGGTTCAGAGACCCCTTTGTCATGGGGCAGAGCTTTCATATCTTTGATTCCAAAAGAAGACCAGGATCTCACATTACCAAAGAATTATAGACCCATATCTCTTTTGAATGTAGATTATAAGATTTTTTTGAAAATTTTAGCTAATAGACTTATGAGGGTGTTAAAACAATTAATACATATGGATCAAACG